ACGGTTTTCCTCTCGCTTGCTAATATACAGATGGGATATTCACAGAAAAAAATTTCACGAAATACTGTCTTGCATCTCATCTGCACTGCTTTTGCACTGTACAACACACAAGAAATTATTTAATTGAGCTATGCAACAAGCTGTTCAAAAATATATGAGACAATGTTGTATGAGCTATATTTGAATATTTTCATAAATTTATATTGTTTTTTATTCGTCATTTTTTTTTTTATGCTCGTAAGATCAAAGTTTTGAATTCTTATTATGCTAAGTATCCAGATCATTCTGTATTGAAAAGTTCCTCGTAAATTAAATTTCGATAAACGGATACAAATGTATAGCTCGTTCTTTTTTATATAGTACATATTATTTTATAAGAAATCCTATTGAATTAAATTATAACGAATTTTAACGAAAAAATATGAAACTTTGAAACATGAAAAAGAAAAATTCTACGATTCTGTCGAATCTTTAAGTCTCCTCGCGAGAAAAGATTCATGCTTCTAGCAGAATTAATTTGAATTACGATATTAAAATTATTCACATTATTATTTTTGATAATATCACTATTAAACTTCAACAAATATTATTTGTAAGACTGCAAGTATAATTTCCTGAATTAACACACCGCTCAAGTTGGCGAACGGATCTCGAAGGCTTCGCCAAGGAACAAGCTGCTGTCTTGCGGTCGAACTACCGTCTTGCTGATGTCGGTGCGCATCGCACCGACTTCGGGTAAATTGACGAGATACAGTGTAGGGGGTGGCTGGTGTATGTACAGTGTACATTGTGACGAGCGTTAGCCGAAATGGTCGACATGTCTCGCGACAAAGTCTCGTCAAAGTTATTCGACGGGGCGGCTATTCGCCCTTCCAGTCTACTCATCCCCCGCTACCAGATAAGCACGGACACTCGGCAGATTCCGGAAACTTTACCTCGGCAGTGATATCCAGCCACCGAGAGTCGAGTTCCGGCAAGTAATCGCTAATTAATTGCATTCTGTAATCAGCGGGCCGCACGCTCGCGTTTCCACACGACGCGACGTGTAAACTTGGTTTGTTTGTTCGCCACTCGGCTGGTGCAAGTGGTATTATTACGACGGGGTTATTGGTGTACCGGTATGGATAAAAAATAGCCAGCTATAGGTCCCCCATCCAAAAGAATACAACGTTGTTTTATTGAAGAATAACAAATATTTCAAGAACACTGCAGGTTTATATAAGCACGCATTCGTCGGTCGCTTGATTCGATTGCTAAATATTTTTCTATCAATTGTTTCAACGTTTCCCCATGGCGCATGAACCGCCAAACGAAAATTCTGCTCTATTGCTTTCGCACAGCAGCCTTACAGTAGACCCATCAAGCGCGAATATAACAAATAAATTATCGCAAAGCCGTCAGCGTGCACCATTCATAATATATGACGTCACTATTATGAAGAATAACGTATAAAATAAAGCTTCATTCAATATTTATTCATGTAATAAATTGTTTAGAAGAGCATCGGAAATATGCAACAATATTTATGTATATCGCTTATTAGCTTGGCAGTATCAACGAATAATGTTATTGAAAATGCATATAATTATTTATTTTTGCTAATTGTAAATATTAAAAGTCAAAAATGTATTCAACATTATATTGCAACGCTTCTAAATTTTTATAAAATTATTATTTTTGTTTTTATAAAATTATAATGGAATAATAATGAATAGCATAACGATGCAAAATACATAGAGTAATTAAATTTATGTCGTGTTACAAGAAAACAAGTATCTAAATTTCAACAAAAGAATAAGAGAAATTTTCACGAGACGCCTCTATAACTGCAGCATCGCGCCATCCTTTTCCTTTCGTTTTTCAACTTCTTCTCGGGTCAGTAAATGATCCAATTACGGAGGCAAGTGCAATGCCGAAACTCCCGCTAGGTCGTTGGTAATTGGCCCGACTTTATCTTCCTTCCTGTTAGCCTCAGCCATTTTTCGCCGTTTGTGCGCGGTGATGGGAGAACATCGAGCAACGACGACGCGCACAAATACGCGTGCACACAACACTTCACCATTTTCACATATACACATACACACGCACAAAGGAGGAAACGAAGCAGCGCTGTTTAATTCATGAATCAGCGGGATCGCGTGGGCACGGGAGATCGTCTACAAATTGCTTCGTTTAACCGCACCAGGTCTATAGGAATATTTCGGATCCGACGTTTGTTCGAGGATTAAGACGTTATATCCAAAGTCTGCGATATGTCGAATTCCAAATAGATCATAGACAATGATCACTCATCAGAAATAAATTTTTTATTTCAATGTTCAATTAAGTGTAAAAATAGTTAGCTTTATATTGAGAAAATAAATTTGGTAAATGTGATATTGTGTAAGAATTAATTTACTTTTTACTAGGTTAATTTTATTAATTTGTTAAAACTTATATTTATTAAAATAATAGCTAAAAAAGTATGATACAAATTAAATATCTTGCAACAATTATTTATGCTGGAAAAATGAGAAAAACTAAAGTAAAACTATTCAATTTCCATAAAAAATATTCTGGAATAAAGTATTTCGTTCGCGTAAATGTTATTATAAAAAATTTTTTGTATCAAATTATGAACGTGACTTTGATAAAACTTATCCGTCTAAAGTTATATGAATGACGAAGTAAATAAAGAGACAAATGATAAGTTTGAAATCAATAAAATCACGCAACCTATTCTTACAAATATTCTTACAAATTTGGACAGGCTCAGCCCGTCTGTCACTTCTACCCTTTTTCAACGTCCTTGGGGTCCCTTCATAAAACTTAATAAGCTGAAGAGCGCCGGCTGCGTCGATCCCGAGGAAATTGTGGCGAACCAGCGCGCTCTCTGCGCCAGGCTTTTATGTTACCGTTCCGGGTTCGGTATTACGAGTCACGTATCTACACACGTATTTTTACATATACACATACAACATACACACGCAAATATCTCTTACAACGATTCACGGTTATTCGCGCCCGGCGAAAGGGTGACATGCGTAAAAGTACCTCTGCTGCAAATCCACTTGCGCGATCACCTTGGGAAAAAGATGTTACAAGCAGCTTCCGGTGTTACGTGTTACGCGTTACGTGCTTACGCTGTTACGACACTTTAACTCTCTCCATCTTGTATATAAAAAAACACTCTATTTCCTTGTATTTTAATTCCGGAGATCGCATATATTTAAATATCAAAAAATAAAACGTAAAAATGTACAAATAAATTTATGAAGAAAAATGTAATTTTAATAAAAAAATAAATGTAAATATTTATTTTGTAACATAAACATAAACATAGCAATAAAAATAATGATTATTATAAAAATCATTTTGAGATAAAAGCAAATGCCACAAGGATTCTAAAAAAATAAAAAATTTTAGAAGAAATTCTACTAAGAAAATAGAACTAGCCAAGTAAAAACGATATTTACGACCAGACAAGGAAAAAAGAATATTTGATTTCTTTTAAAAAAGAAGGAAAGATAAGATTGGAGAAAATAATTTTAATTATCAACAAAAGTATTATTCATAATATCTATCATATTTGTTTCAACAGTTAATTTTAAATTATAAATAGATTTAATTAATAATAGTAAAAAACTGTAGTCTTGAACTTTTATTTCAAGAGAGTGTTCATGACTATGATAAAAGATACATATAGAAATATCCACATAAGGCGTATACAAACATGCGGCTTTACAAGCGCACGTGTTATTTCGCCATATATATAGCCGGGGTAATATCTCGAAATCCATTAGCGCCGTTTCCGCGGACCGCAATCTTGATAATTCCACGTGGACTCGGGACTCGAGAGTGCGGCGAGCAAGCAGGAATCAACGCTGAATACGGAATACACAACGGCTAGATGAGAACGCGAAAACGAGCGAGGGTTGATCGGAGGACAGCGGGAATGAAGGGTTAGGCCAGAGAGGAGAGTACGAAAGTCAAGAGAGAAAGGGAGAGACGAAAACTGTGATGCAGAGGATTGCTGAGAAAGAAAAGCAGACGAGCGAGCGAGAGAGAGAGAGAGAGAGAGAGAGAGAGAGAAGAGAGAGGAGAATGCGAGAGACGAATGACTCTCGTAGGGGTAAATTTAGGTGCGACCTCCATGTATCACCGAACCCGCCGTAAATAGGTACGTAACCGACATACGTACGTACGCCGCATACGTGCCAGGCGTGCGATTGTGTACGCGAGCGGATCTCGCGAACAAGCGCGTGCCGCGCGCGGCTGGAGCGTGTCTTCTTCCGGAAGACCACGGCGATATGAAGCGAGAGGGAGCGAACGGAGAGAGATGGGCAAGCGCGCCCTTTTCCCATCGTTCATGAAACCATTAAAGAAAAAAAAGGGCACGCGTTTCAAGAATTTGCTGGAAGAATGGAAAAGACAGGCCGTTTCCGGGAATTCTTAATATGGGAGAAATTACGGGAGAATGTATTATGTTCTTTTTTTAAAAGCTTCAAGCGCGAGAAAGAATATTAGAGAAGGGAAGATTATTCGGCGCGATTTTTTTCGTAGGGTGAGCATAATTTGCACGAAAGGCGAAATAATCGCTCTGAAAAATGATGAAAAATATGAAAAAAAGGAGTGTAAATGTTTCTCCTAATATTTCACATTGATTCGATCCCTGAAACTTTCCTTTTTGCTACACTGATGTAATCATGCTTGATCACTAATGATCATGAAATCCGGACGATATTTCCCAAAGTCAATCCCGTCGTTTTCCCGTCAAAACCTCCTTTTTTTTCAGAGTGAGAAAAATCGGCGGACCGCGGACAGCAGAGCGAATACCGGCGGAATGGTAATAAAATCGATGCCCCGGATCTGCTCCGGTTTGTAATTGAATCAAATTAATCACCCCGACCGACCTCGAGTCCGCACCCCGCAAACCGTCGACTCATCCGCCACCATCCCCCAATTAATAGCGATCGGTTGGAGGACGACGGAGAGAAGAGAACAGACGGGGGTGAGCGGGACGCAGGTGTGGAGGGTCATCTCGGCGTTTCGTTGGAACTTCATAAAACGAATCCAATTACCGGCGACCGTTTGTCAAAGACTCAAAGCCACCGAAAAGTTTCGGTCCCGCTCGCGGAAATGACGTCGTCCGTCAGGCGTGTTTTCGGGTTGCTATCCCTCGCTGTCAATAGTGAAAATAAACGGGTGAAAAAACTAACGAAACTAGCCACAAGGACTGACACGTGGCGGAAATCGCGCATGAAATCGTGAAAGTCAACCGCAACGGAATTAAGCACGGGGGTGCATTTAAATAGCTGCTTTTAACCAAACAAAAAATTTACGAGTTTCGCATAAGTTTGGTCACATAAAAAATATTACTAACAAATCTATAAATACGATTAAAAGTTTTGTTTGCTTGAATATAATTTTTAGAAATGTATAATATACATATAATATCGCCTTTATTACTATTCGTTTGCGATTATTTCTATTATCGCAATTGTCATTACTGATCCTCTTTTTTTATTTATTATATTCGATATAATTCACATAAAAAACTAAACTGAAAAAGTCACATTTTTACCCGATTCTACTCGAAATACCTGAAATTTGTTACTAGAGTGTAGTGACACGTGCAGAAGAACAGATCCAGTGTTGTTTTAATTTAAGCCCCTAAACGCGAATTTTTTCCAGCAAAATGCGAGGACAAAACTCTGTGTATGTCGATAAAAAATATGAAATGTCGCATCGTTTATCGTGTTCTCCGTTCGGTCGACAGCGCGGTCGGCGGTTGCAAAATTACAACTCGCTAACAAATACGCATGCGTACAAGCGACAATTACAGACTGTGTTTGAAAAATTATGAATCGATGATACCGACAAAACATGTGTGTGTGTGTGTGTGTGTGTGTGTGTGTGTGTGTGTGTGTGTGTGTGTGTGTGGTGTGTGAATCTGCTTGAATTATGGATACCGGCGCCTTACATTTTTATAAAACGATCCCGACGACACGCGTGCGTCCCGCACGTGAGATCGCATTCGATATGAACCTTTACGCACGTATCGGCTGCGATTTCGCTCGTGATATGAATGTTCCAAGTCCATATTTTAAAGCCGTGCTCTGTACATGACGTTTCGTTTATTTTCACCTCAAGCGCACTGTCAGGGAGATATAACAGAAAAAGACTCGATAAGAGAAGCAGAAAAAAGATCGGACGAGAGAAACAGAAAAAGCTTGACATCGGAAAACCGAGAAAGACATTTTATCATTGTCGTCCAGCAACATTCTACTGCAATAAATCGCGAATTAAGAATTTTATCTTATCGGATTTATCTATTTCAAATGCATTAGCGAAGACGAAGTACGCGTTGTTCAACAATCAATAAATTCTTAATTTTCTAGCGTTAGAGTCGCAGTTGATCAGATCAGTTTCTTAGCATACAACGTGTAATAAAATCTTTGATGATCTCTTAAATGCAATTTCTTTTCCATCATCGACATCTATTAACACTAAAGATTGTTAAATTACTTCGACTTTTAACGAGCCGTTAAAAATTGATGGGCCGTCAAGTTAACGTTTCTTAACACGAATTTAAGACTGGCGAATCCAGTCAGTAATGTAAACGAAATTATGTTTTGTTCTTTGTTTTTGTTTAAATCAATATCGCACACTTCTTAAAGAAAAACATAATTCATGATTATGTGTCGAAATATAAGAATAGAAAAAGGTATGATGTAATATGACTAAATCTGAAATTAAATGTGCATAATGTTAATATAAAGTGATTGCGAAAAATTAATTTTGTAATCATTTAATTTATTTACAAGAACATGCAATCATGATGCATTAATCTATTAGAAAAAAATTTTATATTTAATTTTATATTTTTATATTTAATTTTACATTTATATATATTTGTAATTTGTCTTTATAGAGTTTGCCTTTCGCACTACTGATTTCATAGGCGCCCAATATATTCAATGATATAATTAATATATCGCATAATCGCGGCCCAATATATTCAACGATTATGTGACACGTCGCAGCAATTCGCGATTAAACAAAAGACTGGAAAATTATGACAGTGTTCGCAGCTGTTCGCATCACTATTTCATAATATAGCTTCAATCCTGTTAATCTCGAAAAACAGTTTACAGTTGAAAGAAGTAGGTATTTATATATTTAATTATCTAAAATGTCCGCGCGTTGCTAATTAAATTAAATTAATGAAGCTCAAAGTAACTGTAACTAACGGAATATAAATATTTGCATAGAATTCAACAAGTGTGTAAAAAATACGACAACGCGTTAAAGAGAGGCGGCACTATGAGATAATACTGTTAATTATATTGCAATTAATCAATGATAAAATTCTTAATAAAAACAATCCTATGCGATCGACATCCCGGACCTTCCTCTCTCTTCGCAGGTATCTGGAAAATAAAAATGGTATCGAGAAATAATCGAGTCTAATAAGTACTCGTGCTTACCGAAGAATGTAAGAAGATCTAAAAGGATCACGCCATTTCATCTAAAGTTCTTTTATAAAAGCGCACGTTCCGGTCAGTGAATTACAGTTTGGCACAGTTTCCTTTCAACGTTTCCAATCAGCGGGAGGATGATTTTCTTCGAGGCCTTTCGTAATCACTTTTGAACCACGCTGAAATACTGTCGAGGAAAACCCTTTATGTCCCGGCTCTGTTTCTGTCGTACGAAAACTGCCTTCCCGGCAGTTAGCACTCGATTTTCAGAGTTTCGGTGTAACTGACAGACCGCTAATTCTATAGCAATAATACATTTCAAAAAGAATTCCGGCAATTGGATGTAAAAGGTAAATAATCTTCTTCTAAGAAAAGGAAAACGAACCTCTCGAAAGTGTCTCGATAAAATTCGCAATTTAAATCGGAGAACCACTTTATGATCCGTACCCCACTCGCGTATGTTTGTATGAAGGTATACTCCAACGAATATACATGGGTACTTGGCGTAATTGTACTGCTAGATCGCTACGCGATCGTAATTCCACGCAATTGCCGCACAATGGTCGAATTACGTGTCTGCAAGCCGCAAAGAACCGCGTCATTTCGCGAGACAAAGGCGCTCTTGTCCGACCGATCTACTTTAATACAAACGGTAAATGACCCGCGTAACTCTTCTTCCACCGGGATCCTTCCCCATCCCCCTACGATCCTGGCACCTTTCCTTTTGCATCCGCGCAAAAATTCCAATCCGCGGATTCTCGTCGTCGCCGAGATAATAAACGATTACATCTTCCTTCGCGCCGCGCGCGAGGACGCGCATTACTGTAAACTCGAAATTATAGCGCGGATTTATGGAAAAAAGGGGTAGGGGGAGGTCGGAGGAAAACGGGACGGAAGAATAGCGGCGTGATAAACGACGGGGCGTACATTTTACAGGCCGAATTGCCACCGGCCGACCGAATTGCGAGTATTACGAGCGAGGATTACGAGTGGTTGTGCGCCGAATGAAAACGCTTGAATGCAACTTTCTTCTGCCACTTCGCGCGTGACAAGGCACAACTCTGAGATCTGTCGATCTGCGGCACTAGAATTGCCATAGAGATAAATTCGGAACGAAAATTAAAAAAATAAGATAAAAAATAATAAAAACAGAGTTTTCTGCTTTTAGCAGAAGTAAACCCATGATAAAGTCATGGAAACATGATTTTGTTGAAATGTTTACAAATTTACTCAAATACAGATTTGAAAGTAATTTTGTTGGACCATCAAGATAATTATTGGACGCTCAGATATGATAAAATTACAAAAATTTTTAATATTTTAGCAACTAATTTGAATGTTCTACATAATTATTTTGATGGTCCAATAAAATTATTTTCACATCTGCATCTGCATCTGAGATTTTTAGATATTTCAACAAAATTGTTCTTGTTATTCATGAATAACTAGAGGAGTGAAATTTATATATTAGTACAACACAATTTGATCGTACAATTTATCTATTTGTGATCAACATCACGTTACAATCCGCAAGAAGGATGAATCATAAACGTTAGCTCGAGCAAACTCTACCGTTTAGATGCTTTTTTCTCTTTTCAACAAAGACAAATCTTTGAAATATTAAAAAATATTCTCACTCTGACGTATTTCTTGTCTACATTTAATAGATAGATATAATTTATAACCGCAATTACGCGGATGTACAATAAAAATACAATATAGTATATATATATATATATATATATATATATATATATATATATATATATATTTTGGAATTTCATAAAACCATTAATTAATTCTAAAGTAATTTTGGCTTATCAACATATTGCTTGCCGTGGTGAATAATAGTAGCGAAAGTGCCGGCTACCATAGCACCCCAGAATAACATGTAGAGTAATATTTCTGTTGTATATCGCGACGGCAAGATTATGTGAGCGACTAACATTGAGGACGCCACTAAAAGAACAAGTGGGAATGTTGCGTAGCGCCAGTTTCGTTCAGATTCCAAGGGACATTGAATAGAAGTGCACTCACCATCCTGGACGATATAGCGACCTAAAAAGAGCTCTAGCGAATCCTGTAAAATATAAAAAATTGTTATGTTATATCAAAAAAGAGAATAATACTTTCAAAAGTTATTTACCTGTCGATATCCATCGGCGAAATTGTTCTTATAATATCTCGTCAGAGAATTTAAACCATCTTTCATCGCGCCCAATTTAGTACGTTTTCCAGTTCGTGTGAAATCCGTTTTCAACGCCCCTGTGCCCGAATATTGAATACTTATCACATCTGCATTATCGGCCCAAACCTAAAGATATTAATGGAAACAATTAACGCTATTTCTAACATTAAAATATTAACATTTATTTGTCAAATTCTTCTTTCACGGAAATTTAATTTTCTGAAAAAAAATTCAATATCTGTTATGACTAATACCTGTTTGAACAAATTTTCAAATGCAGGATGATCCTCCACCTTCCTAAGTATCTCTAACCTGCTTAACACTTCATTGAGAACTCGTTTCGCCAACATGCTTTGTACAACATTCGTCCGATCTAAACAGTCGATACAATTTGTACGAAAAACACCATCCTGAGCTGAGAGCAATGCTCCATCTCTCATCAACAGGAAATATCCCATCTGTTCCTGATCATGGGTTAATCGATCCATTAAGGTATTTAGTTTATCCCACCTCAGTCTTCTACATTCTGCATGAAAATCAAAAGCCTCATATCGAACATTTTGGTTATTAATTCTTTGGACTAAATTGCGATATGCATCTTCAAGCAATGCTTCTGGTCCACATTGATCGATCTGTCCAAAATTTCAATAGCAAATATTATTTTAGATACAAGTATGATAGTAATGATTTCCAACACAAAAAATTTCTGAGATGAACTCTTGCTTACGCATCATTTAATTCTAATCATAAATATTTCAATTTTATCTGTCATAAATAGAGATGAAAAAAAGAAAACTTACCAAGTTTACCAGGATTTGCCTTCCATAATGAAAGATCTGAACATCAAAGTGCCGAGCACAAGCGCTTTGATGATCTTCGTGCGGACTGATTTGTGGTTTCGGCTTATACTTCAAGTTTGGCGCCTGGCACCAAAACAGAGGAATAGATCCACGCGTCTGCACAAAGGAACTGCGATCGCCATTCACTTCGATCAGCTGCTCTGTCTCCACATAATTAGATACATTTCCAGTGGCATCTATACCACGCGAAAATAGTCTCGTGCCAGCACGATGTACACCACGTCTAGAGACAATGCCCCAATTAAATGCAATACCATTCACAACCACTGTATTCAGTGAAACAACTATATAAATTGATTGTTAAGGTCATTATAGATAAATAGAAATCTAATTTAAACGATATATAATATGTATCAAAGGATACAGCCATGAATAATGGGCAAACAAAATTTGTATTGCTCCGGTCTTGCACTTAGGTCTTGCAGGAGGTAGGCATTCCACACAAACCTAGGATCTGCTCTGTCATGAAGCGGCATCTAGATAACAATACATTCTTACCATAAAACTGCTTGCAATGCTGCATAAAATAGCAATGGTTACACAACAATGTATTTACTTGCAAAAATTCAGGTGTCGTGTTATGTAGCCTTTGCATAGTGTGACTAAGATCATAGGTATAACTAAAGTAAAAGTACGGCGTGTTCAAAACAGATTTGACCATTTCCAGATATATGGCATTATTTTGGACCTGCTTCTCAGTTAGATGCAGAGAGGATCTTGTATACGGTATCACCTCTGTCGAAGATATCTTGTAGATATTGTGCCCAGCTATAGTCCCACACATTTGAGCATCGGTAATGACAATAAGGTAACGACATGCCAAGAGGCGTATAGTCCCTACTAATCCCCATATTTTTCTCCGACTAGCAGTTGATGGAATCTGATTAGCATTGCCGACTGCAATAGAAAGTAGAGATACATCAATGATTTGCTGATTTGATTCAGGCATATATAATTGCTTGTAAATCACCTTGAGTATAGATCTGCTGACTCACTCTATCAACCACTAACAAGACATTGGTTCCCACCGGTTCCACGAAAAACTTCTCCGGAGTGGCATACCTTAATAAAATAACAGATTTACTAATAACGTGAGCAATAAAACAGACAATGCACACGATTTTTTTCACGCATGTGTTTTCATGTACTTCACGTCACGAATGTGAGAAATGTATTCTACGCATCTACTCACAAGTATAAGCTGTCATAGACATCCGTGTTTGGCATCATATCGTCAAATATCAAATAGATCGGAGTACGTTAAGCAAATAGACAAGCGAATTAGAAAATAATAATAAAATAATGTACGGAAAAAAGAATTAACGATCTTTGAACGAAACGCGG